AGAGATCCCATTATTTTCCAAACCCCACAGTCCATCCAGACTCAGAACTCCCACGGTTTTCCAAACCCCACAGTCCATCCAAACTCAGAGATCTCATTATTTTCCAAACCCCACAGTCCATCCAGACTCAGAGATCCCAGTATTTTCCAAACCCCACAGTCCATCCAAACTCAGAGTTCATATTGTTTTCCAAACCCCACAGTCCATCCAGACTCAGAAATCCCATTATTTTCCAGACCCCACAGTCCATCCAGACTCAGAGATCCTATTGTTTTCCAGACCCCACAGTCCATCCAAACCAGAGCTCCCACCATCCTCCAGACCCCACAAATTGCCTCCAAAGCAGGGAGCCAATATCCCAGGAAAGCTCCAGCCCCCCCAGCATCACCAGTATGGACCATTAGACCTTCAGACACCACCAGTTTAGGAAGGGAAATCCCAGTCCAGGCCATTTTTGGGGCCTCACAGCTCAACAAACACACGCACCACTTGTCATACCTTACCTGGAAAGAGGCTTTATTGAACAGCTGTAAAATTATCTCTTCAGTTGAATTACTGAATTTGCACAAACATTTCTCTACAGAATAAAAAAAAAAAAAAATCAAGCCTTGTTATCGTTTTTACTGCATCTCGTTGTGCTTTTTATACTCGTATTTGCAAATATAATCCTCGTTCGTTTGTTTGTTTGCACGTTTTTACTCCAATTATTTGCATATCAGGCGGTTTGTTTTTGTTTTTTTTCTCAATCCTAGGGCGTCGAGAGAACACATCATAATAATAATAATAATAATTATAATAATAATGATACTCTCCCTTAGCAAAAGTCCTTTTTTTTTTTTTTTTTTTCTTTTTTTTAAATAAATTTAAAAGTTAAGAAAATTAAAGGAAAAAAAAAAAAAAAAAGGTCTTCAAATCGTCATCGTGACCAACTGGGAGGAGGGAACTTTTACAACGCAGTGGAAAACCGGGCTGGCTAACGGCACGTGTCGGGGGGGGTGGCTCAAACCCACGTTGGTTTTTTTTTTATTTTTCTCCTTGTAAAAGTGGGATTTTAATTTTTTTTAAATTTTTTTTTTAATTTTTTAATATTTTTTTTTTTTTTTTAATTTTGCTACGATAACCAAAAAAAAAAAAAAAAATAAAATAACCTCTCGTGCTCAGCTCCGGGGGGGAGGAGGCGCCTTGAGCCCCCTCGGCGCGTCGAGCTCGGCGGTTCCTCGGGGGGATTCTGGGAATATCCCCCCCCTAAACGACTCCCCCTCCTCCAGTGGAAGGTGGGAGCGGGAAAATCCCTCCCGTGTCTCCCCACATCTTGTGTGTCTCAACAGCCTCTGCCTCTGGTTGACCCACCGGAGAACCCGGAGCGACGACGGCAAAGCGCTGCTCCCGTTCCCATTCCCATTCCCGACGGAAGATGTTTTCTAAGGGATAAGAAGCTGAAAGGCCGTGGCCGTCTGGGAGGTCACACCAACAAATCCCTCATCCCAAAGAGGGCTCAGGCAGCAGCTTTGAGGTCCATCCCATCTATCCATCATCTCTGGAAGCGAGGTCCATCCCATCCATCCATCCATCCATCTCCAGAAGCGAGGTCCATCCCATCCATCCATCCA